ACAATATTAATATAATTTATTTTATAATATAAATTTTTAACAAAAGAAGATAATTGTATTATATAATATTGTAAAAAAAAATAATGAAAAATGTTGGATTAAAAACTTTCATGACTCAAGGTAAATATAATAAATGCAATAAATATTTGACAGTTTGCAAAGTAAAAAACCAGCATGATTGACGAAACCCTATACTCAAGAAAGATATTAAAAATTCACAAATTATCATAAAGAAAGAGAAGCATATCTACCTTTTCAGGTTGAAGATTACTTCTTCTTTCTTCAAGAATTCTCCCAGTAGTGGAAAAATTATGCTCACAGCTTGCACTTGAAGCAGGAATTGCCAATTTTGCTAAAATTGGAAATTCGCTTTGATGAGCCGCCTACCACTTTAACAAATTATCCACCTTAAATGTTTTATCTATTATTTATGTAATTATAATATTCATCATCGGGTATTGACATATTACCAGAATTACCATCGCCCCATTTGTCATAAAACGATTCAGTTTGTTTAACAACAGTGGTAATTTGACTGGTCGATGGTATTTCATTTACTTCCTGAGCCTCTTGTAATTTAATATAATCTTTTATATAGTTTTCCGTCATTTTGCGATCTGTCTCTGACTACATACGTAATTGCTTGAATTTGGGACAGAGAAAAAGAGAAATAAAATGATACTTGTGTAAAACAAATTTTTCAATTAAAAAATGCTTTATATTAAGTAAAATCAATTTTATTTCTCCTTTTCGCTTTGAAAGGTATTACAAACTTTAAGAAGTGATATTCCTTTATTTGATTGTTTTGGTAAAATATATTCTAAAAATTTAGATATGAATTATAAAAAAATATATTAATAATACTTGAATATTGGGGCTTATTTAAGATATTCCTTTATTTGATTGTTTTGGTAAAATATGTTGTAAAAATTTAGATATGTATTATAAAAAAAAATATATTAATATTTTAAATAAATTTGCAGGAAATTAATAATTAGATCGATCTGTGGGTTGTTAGGTAGTGTTAACCATCACCCAATATTATATTAATCATAACTATAATATAATATAATCTTATAACCATTAACTCATAATGTAAAAATTTTTATAAAAAATATTAAGTCCCGGCCCGGGTTTAACAATCTTAGGCCCGGCCCGGTCCGGATATATTTAAAAAAAATTTTTTTAGGCCCGGCCCGGTTATGTTTAAAAAAAAAATTTTTTAGGCCCGGCCTGGCCGGGTTTATTTAAAAAATTTAAAATACGGGGCCGGGCCTGCAGGTCTCTGATAATAATTTTTAGATTAATTATATTATTAATCAATTTATATTTATTTGTAGTTGATAAAATAAATAAAGTATAATATTTAAGGATTTAAATTATTTATTATGGATAAAAGGAATTATAACTATTAATCTATATTCCTTTATTACTTCTATCTAATAATTTAATTTTTATAAGTTACTTATTTCATAAGAAAATTATTTTTAGAATTAAAAATAAAATATATATTTCTTAAAACTACAATATTGTAAATGAAATATTAAACAAACCAATTGTTACTCTTTAATAAAATATGTTAAATACAAATATTCGATCCAATCGCATACGAATAATGCAAATATTCGATTTGTATTTTTGGAAGGTATACTTGGTAATAAAAGAACCCTGAATGTAATTTGACCTTGGTTATTATATTAGTTGAAGATTTTGTATATAAGGAATATATCAACCAAATTTCAAAATAATTGAATTAATTTTTTTTAAATATTTGCAATTTGTTGAGCTTGGCTTGGAGGGTATGGGTTTACAGAAGAAAAATGAAAAAAAATATCTTATATTTTTTGATATTTTAAATCAAAAAGTTCAAAATAGAGAGGGTTTTTCCTATATTTTTTTTTAACAAGTATTATGTACCGTGTATTAATATCATTAGTTAGAGATTTGTTGCAACTGACAATTAATCGACTTTGATAATTTTCAATAGTTTTTTTAAATTATATAAATAAAATATCCTAAATAAAATGATTAGGTCGAAAATAGTTTAAAAAAATTACGAATCTTTCTTATATATACTCTAAAATAGTATTGATAATGATATATTGTAGACTAGAGTGATAGTTTTTAATAATATTGAATATATAACATCTGGTGGTATAAAAAGTTAAAAATTGCGAACATGTAAATTGTTATTTTTCATTGGTTCATCTTTACTGAAATTTTAATTTAACATGCTCAAAATTTATATTTTTCTTGGTTGCTTTAAAATAATGAATATGACAATTGTCACTTTTCTATGGTTCATCTTCCCTAAAATCTCAATTTATTTATTTTGTTGCCCATTTGTTAAAAATAAATTCAAAAGTTTAAAATAGCATTATGACATTTGTCACTTTTCTATGATACATCCTAATTTATATTTAACATGTTTACAGTTTATATTTTTACCTATTAAAAAATTTTAAACTATCGATTATGACAATTGTCACTTTCTATGGTACATCCTCATTTAAATTTTAACTTAACATATTTACAATTTAGCATTTTAACCATTTGCTTCAAAAATATTCAAAGAAATTTAAAAATAACGTATATGACAATTGTCACTACTCTATTATACCCTCATATAATTTTAATTTAACATGTTTACAATTTATATTTTTACCTATTTGCTTCAAAAAAATTAAAAAAGTTTAAAAATAACGATAATGACAATTGTCACTTTTCTATAATACATCCTCATTTAATTTTAAATTAACATGTTTACAATTTATATTTATACCTATTTGCTTCCAAAAAGTTAAAAAATAACGATTATGACAATTGCGACTTTTCTATTATACATCCTCATTTAATTTTAATTTAACATTTTTACAATTTGTATTTATACCTATTTGCTTCAAAAAAATTAAAAAAGTTTAAAAATAACGATTATGATAATTGTCACTTTTCTATTATACATCCTCATTTAATTTTAATTTAGCATGTTTACAATTTATATTTATACCTATTTGCTTCAAAAATAATAAAAAAGTTTAAAAATAACGATTATGACAATTGTCACTTTTCTATTATACATCCTCAATTTTAATTTAACATGTTTAAAATTTATATTTATACCTATTTGCTTCAAAAAAATTCAAAAAAGTCTAAAAATAACGATTATGACAATTGTCATTTTTCTATTATACATCCTCATTTAATTTTAACTTAACATATTTACAATTTATTAATTTAACCATTTGCTTCAAAAATATTCAAAAAAATTTAAAAATAACGTATATGACAATTGCCACTTTTCTATTATACATCCTCATTTAATTTTAATTTAACATTTTTACAATTTGTATTTATACCTATTTGCTTCAAAAAAATTAAAAAAGTTTAAAATAACGATTATGATAATTGTCACTTTTCTATTATACATCCTCATTTAATTTTAATTTAGCATGTTTACAATTTATATTTATACCTATTTGCTTCAAAAAAAATAAAAAAGTTTAAAAATAACGATTATGACAATTGTCACTTTTCTATTATATATCCTCATTTAATTTTAATCTAACATGTTTCCAATTTATATTTATACCTATTTGCTTCAAAAAAATTAAAAAGGTTAAAAAATAACGATTATGACAATTGCCACTTTTCTATTATACATTTTCATTTAATTTTAATTTAACATTTTTACAATTTGTATTTATACCTATTTGCTTCAAAAAAATTAAAAAAGTTTAAAAATAACGATTATGATAATTGTCACTTTTCTATTATACATCCTCATTTAATTTTAATTTAGCATGTTTACAATTTATATTTATACCTATTTGCTTCAAAAAAAATAAAAAAGTTTAAAAATAACGATTATGTCAATTGTCACTTTTCTATTATACATCCTCAATTTTAATTTAACATGTTTAAAATTTATATTTATACCTATTTGCTTCAAAAAAATTCAAAAAAGTTTAAAAATAACGATTATGACAATTGTCACTTTTCCATGATACATCTTCACTGAAATACTATTGAGATGCTTATAATATATATTTTTACTCAATGGCGTCAAAATAACTTTAAAAAAAATAAGTTATATGAAAATTGTTACTTATCTATGGTTCATCTACACTGAAATCTCAATTTACCATGCTCACAATTTAATTTTTACCCTGACTATACAGTGATTAAGTTCGGCTCTAAAATTCACTTTAGTCGATTATGGTTTAACCAAGTCGACTAAATGGATCAACTTTAGTCGACTAATTTTTGCTGCTAAAGGTTTTAGTAGATTTTTCAACGGCTATTAAATTTTAGTCGGAAAAACTCGACTAATTAACAACCCTCAACAATTATCGCGATATTGACCTCATGTTATTAAATTCGCTATAATATCATCGAAATATATTTCGCGAAATAGTTTCCACTATATAGTCTTCGCGATTTGGGTTTCGCGATAATTCGCTATAAAATTTTTGCGATTATTGCTTCGCGATAAAAGTTTCGCATTAATGTATACACCTAAGGTTTCGCGATAAGGGTTTCGCTATGAAAAATTCACGATATTTATTTCGTGATCTTCGCGAAAAAGTATTCGCTAATGTAGATTCGTGATAAAAGTTTCGCGAAAAAGTGTTTACTGAATTGACATGGAACAAAATCTTATGTAAGATCCGGAAAAATAATTCTGGATTCAATACTAACTGGCATAATATTGTGGATCCGAGTACCTCTTGCTAGAATCATTCAATTGCTACACCTTTAAGGGCATTTTATCATTTAATTAAAATTGATTATAGTTTTCTAACTATTTATATTCATTTGTATATTTGAATCCATTTAATTTTTATACAACTATTTATTAAAGTTTTGCATATTCTAGAATTTGAATGTTCAAATTACACATATATCATCTTAATTTTTATACATTTACAAAGAATAATTAAAATTCGGATATTATCACTAGTCTCTGAAAAATTTAATAAAACTTTAATTAAATATGCCATTTATACTAAAGATGCGCTGCTACTAGTCATACCGTAAACGTATTGAATCAAAAAATTAGGATTTAAATTAACACCATCCCCCGCCTCTAATTTGTTAGAATGATACATTCTGTAAATAGTTGCTTCATTTTTTAATCCCATATTTTGTATCATAATAAAGAGTTGTGATTTGATTTTATCTTCCGGAATAATTATATCGACTCTAATAACACCGGAGAATATAGATAGTAATCTTAGCCATATCTGTAATGCGATCATTTCATTTTCGGCGTATAATGGAGCTATGTTCCATCCTATATACTTTTTATATATTAAACCATAACCTAAAATATCTATTGGGTTTGATTCTAAGTGCGATAATATATTCCCTACATTCTTCATCTCATAATTAGAGTTAACAGTGATCGGTGGGGATATATCATTATTAAATCTAAACGCTAGCATACCTATAATATCTTGTTTATCGAGTTCGTTTGAATTATTTTGAACAATCTTTTCATCATTTTCGAATAAGGATCTTAGAAATATGTCTCTATTAATACCATGAATGCGCTCGTCATAGGAAATTATTTGTTGTAGCAATTGTTCATTAATTAGATGTGGAAGGAATAGAATATAGTGGATAGTATCATCTTTCTTTTTTTGCTTCTCATTATTAATTAAGTTTAACGTTTTTTTAAGTGCTGAGATATTCACATCACCTATCAACATCTGAGCTTTAAAATTATTAGAATTTATTATTTCATCAATTTTAAAATTATTTATAAACCTGTAAAAATTGGATAACTCATTCCTGATTTTATATTAGTCGCAATTCTATTTTCGATGGAATTGATGCCGAACAATCTATTTTGAACATGCTTGAGTCTCTCATTGCATAAAAGATTAGCCACACCCTTTCTCCTATATTCTTTCCTAACCACGAGACTCCCTCCAAATGCGAAATCATCGCTTAAATTGAGGCCTAAGCAAATACCTTAATATAATATTAAATGATATATGATTATAATTAGTTTAGTTGAAAGCGATACAATTCATCCCGAAGTCCAGTCAGAAGTCGAGCGAACATTTATAAAAGACATCTCTTAAGAATAACTCGCGTCGAGCAGGGCTCAAATATAAAAAAATCCCCCAAATTAAATAGAGAATGGCGTTTTTGCTTCATTAATTAAAAAATAATGATAATTAAATATTTTCTTAAATTGAGATCTAACAATTAGTTATTTTTATTTTGCTTTATAAAAAAAAGAAGTTTTGAATTATAATTTTGTAAGAATAAATAGAAATTGAATTAAGCATAAAAAATTATAAACTTGTTTGGTTGGGCTAGTTTCGGACCTAAAAAAAAATAAATTCTTAAGCCGTGTCTAGAATTTTTGACTTGGTTAAGACCACCGATTTTATTTCATTAGTTTCTATTCCAGAGAGTAAAATTTGTTGTATTTTATCATTGTGAATTGCTAAGAATTCTATTGCACTTCCAAATTATTGAAAACTATCATCAGTTGAGGCTGTAAAATAGTGACATTTTAATACTTTTGTAATCATTCACACAAATCTAATACTCTTTGCTATTATAACAATTATTTTCTACAATTCCAAATTTTTAACACTGAATAATAATACGCCTAAAAGCGCCAAAGAGTACTAATAGTACACTTTAGAACTTATTAATGTTTATCGGCACTTATTAGCACTCATTGGGACTTATTAATATTCATTGGCGTTTATTAGTACTCTTTGGGACTTATTAATATATTCGTTGTCGTTTATCAGTACTCCTTAGCGCTTTTAAAAAATTGATCTAGCTCATTCATGAGAAGTAAAAATCTTAACAAGGTTTTCATAGATGAATCCAGAAAATAAAAAATTTTTTTTTTTCTCACGCTTTTCGTAAAGTACGGCGTTTGTTTAACGACCCTCAGACGAACGAAGCACGAAGTTTAACTCTGAGCCGTAAAGTGCACTCGAAATATCGCTGTTCAGTGTGCCCTGCAATTCACATTAACTCGCGCGTTTCGCCGCGTTCTACATCGAGACACGAACCTAGTGATTCACCGCACAGAGATATTTATATTTAACTTCGCTTATGAATAAACAAAAGATCAAAAAGGTAAAATATTTTTAGAACTGAATTTTCCTGGTTGACTAACATTTTCTATCGTCTAAAAAAATTAAGATTCCTATTTTCAAAAATATTCGTCCTCAACAATCCTCCGTGGGTGATCCCTTCATTTGTCCCATTATCTTATAAAAAGATCCCATGGTAATTTTTCCATAAAAGGCGAAATAGTTATTTATTGGCGGTTATTGATGTTCCTTAGGTGAAATAGCTATAGGCGAATAGCGCTTATTGGCACTCCTTAGGTGAAAAAACTATAGGCTAAAAGTCTTAAACTTAGACGAAATGTCTATAGGTGAATTGCCGGCATACCATTTTAACACTTGGATTTGAATATTCAGGTTTAGGTATCTTTCTATACTGATTACCCTAGTTTTATTGTGTATATTTTTTAAAAAGCTTGAAATTAATAATATAAATCGAAATTTTCATTATAAAAAATATATTATGAATGAGTAACGAGCCACCACTTTAATAATTATAATCAAGTGTGTCCTGAACCTAATCAGTTGTACAAATTTAAAATGGTGTAAAAAATATAAGCACATTTATAGTCCTGCTGGACGGTAACATCCCTGCCCGTGACTCGAAAAATAATAATGTTATCCTTTCTGATCTTCTATATTTGAATGGTCAGATTCGAAGGTTTCATTAAATGAATCAATTTCAGTACTAAAATAGATGGAGCAAAAAAATGAATCATGCACAGGGATGTAAAAAATAAAAAAATGGTGTTTTAAGAAATAATCAACGAAAATAATACAAGAAAAAACATGTTTAAAAAATTATTTTGCCGAAATTTTGAAACCATTAAAAATTAAATTTCTAATTTAAGATGCTAGTAAAAATTTGCAAAAATAATCAACGAAAAAGATACAAGAAAAAAAAACATGTTTAAAAATTATTTTTCCTAAATTTTAAAACCATTAAAAATAAAATTTATAATTTAAGATGCTGGTAAAAATTTGCAAAAAACACGATTAGATATATTTTTTAAAGAAATAAGTGCAGTATTATTAAAATTATAAGAAAACAGAATAAAATGTATTTTTTATTTGTTTTTTTCCAGCATTCCATGTTTTTCCATTTTACAAACAAGAAATGATTATCTTGCTACTAATAAATCTAAGTTCACGTTTTTAAATATAAAAAAATGGTGGCGAAATAATTGTCACTTTAAATTATAATACACCAAATCACTATTAATCTCGAATGAATATTAATTACTAAATAATTTAAAAAATAATAATCCACATATCTAATAAGATAAATAAATATTAATGGAGTACCTATTATCTCCAGATTAGGTAATTCGGCTATAAAACAACCTAACGGGTCAACTTTGAAACAGCTTTTAAAAAATTTTGCACTGGTCCCCCAGCCTTCTACATCGAATATCCATTTGGGAATATTGGCAGCATCTATTTCTCTGAAGTGTCTAATAGTTACATTATTTATATCGAAGCTCATTATATAAAATAAGTAATATAAATATATCTATCCATGTGTAAGTAACGATTCGATTATATATTAATTATCACGTTGCGCAATTAATTATAATTTATTTTCAATTTTACATATTATTACTTATTTAATAATCAATTAGGCTAAAAAATACAAGATAATATGTTAGATCCATAATAAATTATTGTAAGTGATTTAATTAATATTCAAGGATGTTGTTTTTTTTATAAAAAGGGAAGATATATTACTTTAAATGTTTTTATTATTAATACATTCAATACATGAAAAAAAAAATTTATATAATAATTTAATAAAAGAATTTAAAGAAATTAAATGTAAAAGACTTTTATGTATGTTAATATAATTATAAAACATAATCAATTTATTATAAACATAATATAATTAGAATTATCATATAAATTTATATATAACAATAAAAAATATTTTTTGATGTCATGGCATTGCTACTTTTCCTTAATATGATAAATAATGATTTGAATTTGCAAATAGTCAAAATTTAGCTAAGTGAAATTGCACCAATTTGAGGCACTGATCAGTCAACCCCCATCCGAGCTCATGACGAAGCGGCCCTCCCTCCTCCCCTGGTATGCCAACTTTTAAATATTTTAAACAGCTCTACTTTTTATAGTTTGATTTGATTAATTTTATCTCGCTCATTACTCTTTTGTCGGAAAGCTAGATAAATTATATAATAAAGTAAGGTAAAATAAGAGAATGTTGGTATAATTAGATGCATCATCTTCAAATTCACTACCACCAGAGTTAAATAATGTATAATTAATAAATACAATTATGCAAATGACATAATTGGATTTGGTCATCTTGTAAATTAATTCTTTGCTATAGAATTTAATTTATATAATTTCTTTACTATAGAATTTAACTTATAAAAGGAACAAGGTTCTTCGATATCATTTTTTTTATATTTGTCTTTTTATATATACTTCATTGGAGTAAAATTAAAAATCGGATTGAGAGCGTTCAATAGCCACTAATGCAACTTAAAACATTTCCATTTAATAGCTTATATATTAAAATCATAATAAATATTACCATGTAATACTAACTTTTTCACACGAATCGTTACGATTTTATTAATATTTTCCTCTGGTATTTTTGTAGCACTGCTTGTCTCTTAACATTAACACTATTTAAATAAATGTAAATATATTAATAATCCTGTATTCTTCAGTTTTTTTTACAGATTGCGATACATATGAACTGATGGGGATGTCATTTGCTTTATATAGCTTTCTACTGGGATGTAGGTGGTACGAGTAGGTTCATAGGGGGTAATAAAAAATATCTTTAGGTGAAGAGTAAATCTGGACGCGTTGCCTTCAATTTTTTCTGACACTGATAGATTTTAATAATTGATCTGATCTATTAACTTCTTTGTTCTTGAATTGTGTTTAAATCCTATTTTCAAATATATTTATTATAAAATTTGCAAACCATATAAAAACATATCTATCTTCGCGCAGAGTTTTGCTTTTTACAATAGCTTCATGCTTGTACAATATCCTCAAGATTTAATTTAGACTTGAATGTTTTTGTTTAGTTTGTTTAATTAAATTTTATTATTTTTAACAATATAAATTAATATGTAATTGGACATAAAAAATGCAAATAAGTGACTCTGGCTTATCTGGCGCCTCACGAAAAATAAAAAAACATTGAGCTAGCACTAGCAAAAACAACAAAGTGTTAATTTTCCATTTGTTTTAAAGTAATAAACATTTTCATTTAAAGTTTTGAAAAATTTGATTAAATTTAATTTTTAAAAAAAATCACTTCCATATCTTTAGAAATTGAATCTTCAATAAAAAATAATTGCCAATGGTGATAATAGCTCTTGGCAGATGATCTCAAATAATCTTTGATCCATTTGGAAAAACTTCTTTCACTTATGGCCACTGAAACCATATTTTGAGCTCAGATCATCTCTATCTTTTAATATAAAATTTTATTATCTGACATTGAATCAATGACACCTGATAACCCGGGTTCAACCGGGTTCAGTGTATTGTTTAAAATAATGTATTAAGATTTATGTATAATTGTAAATACAAATATTAATAATTTAATTTAGATTTTATAATATTTTCAAATTTCCAATTAAGTGAACTTATTTCATTTACGTCTTTTTTAGAATTTTTATGATTTCTTCTCCTATTGGAGTGTTAATAAATTTTAAACAATTAAATTAATTTGCGCCGTTATTTTTAATTTTTAACTTATTCTCAAAGATTATTAATTAGAGGAAAATGCAAGTGGACAAGTCAAAGTAAAAATTATAATATTGGATATTGTTAATTTAAAGAATTCTCAAAATCTAACTTAAAATTTGTTAAACAAAGATATAAAAATCATTTTATAATTGCTAATCATTTATTTTTTGTTCAGATTAATTTTAACCATATATTAATTAAGTACATATTATAAATAAATACATCTGTTTTTTAATTCTATTAAATCATTGCTATTTAAAAAATTTATTTTCTTTAACTTTTTTATTTGAAAGTTTAATAAATGTTTCTCAATTCATTCTATAAGTTCAAAGATAAAATCATATTTGAGAAGCATTTTACTCTTGATACAATAGAAAATAAATCAGTGTGCTCATATTGCAAATTAAAAATGTCTGGCAATCATTTGTCAAATTTAGAAAGACATCTGGAAAGCAATCACAACAAACAATGAATATGTAAATTATTTGAATGAAAAATCAAAATATCAGGAAGTTATTTGCAAAAAAACCCAAAAATAATATAGAAACCTTTTTTTTTCTTTCTCTTTAGCTTTCACCTTTTCTGGTGGTAAGCTCCTTCAACATCTCTCTCCACTTTATGTTATTCGTACAATCTCTTTTATCTAATTTATACTTCTTTATATTGGCTCTAACTTTATGGCCCCATTGAAGTTTTGGCCTTCCTCTTTTACGTTTGCCCATCACTTTCAAACTCTCAACCTTATTTCCTATGTAGTTCATAGGCCTTCTCATTGTGTGCCCATACCACCTAAGTCTGTTTACCATTAACTTAGTCTTAATGGGCACTACCTTTAAATTACTTAGTATCGTTGTACTGAGCACTTTATCCTTTCTTGTTACCCCAGCAATCATCGGTGGTTTAGAAACAAGAAGGACGAAGAGGACGCGGGTTCAATCCTGGTAAGGAGAATGAAAACTTTCAGGTTTTTCTTCGATGACTGATGTGTAAAGACATATGGTAAGATGAATTTCGGAGCTTAGAGATGACATCCCGGTCACCGACAGGCCTTGGACAACCGGGTGCTAAGGATACTTGTTCAATAAACAAAATGAAGAAGGCAAATGAAAATATAGAAACCTTTTAAACATTATAAATTTAACATATAATGATTAGATGAGTTCTATCATATAATTTTTTACTGTAAATGGTCGGCCTCTATCAATTATTGAAGATTCGGGATTTCAAAGAATCATAAGTCCACTTTTATCTGGGCTCAATTTAGTTATTAACTAAGAAAATTTATTCCGAACTATTAATAGAACAGCCTAATCTATTAGAGACAACATTTCAAGAGAGGTACAAGGAAAACTAATAAGTTTAAAAGTTGATGCAGTTCAACGACTATAAATTCTTGGTATAAATATTCAATTTATATCAAATATAATTTTGGAAAATCTTGGAATTGTAGAGCTGAAAGAAAGAAGTACAGGAGAATATTTAAACGAGAATATACTAAAAACTTTACAAAAATTAAAAATTAATATTAAACAAATACAAACACTTCTGACAATAGTGCAAATTTTATCAAAGCTATAAAGCTCTTGCAGCCTGATATTGATTATTATGTGAATGTATATAAATATTAAATCGATATACAGAATACTTTTTATACAACTATTTTATCCTATCTGATTAAAGGTGTACGTTGTGCAGCTCATACACTTCAGCTTGCACTTCAAGATGCAATAAAATTATCACTCATTGTGTATACTCTTGCAAAAGCTAAGAGATTACATTTAAAATTAAGACATCACACTTATAATAATTTAATGAAAAATATGAAACTCCTTAAAACTGTGTTAGATTGCCACCGATGACATTCAACCCATGATATGTTAGAAAGGCTGATTTTACTCAAACTCAATATCAAAGATTTCTTTTCAGAACAATTTGATTATTTATTGACTGAAGATTGGAAAGGGATAATAACGATTGTTGAAATTTTAATACCACTAAAAATCGCAACCAAACGATTCCAATCTGAACAGTTAACACTGACAGATTTTTATGCAGAATGGTTAAGATGCTGCATTGAACTAAAAATTATCCAAACCATTTTTCTCAATTACTATATTCTTGTCTAAGAACAGATAAGAAAGGTTTACAAAGAATGAAATTCTCTTCGCTGCTATATACATGGGACCAAGATACAAAGTTAATTAAAAGATTAGTAAATTATTTTGGATTTATATTAAAATTGTTATTTTATGGAATTGGTATTTATATCCTTAAATATTACAAGTATTACTTAAGGAGAACGATAAATTTTGTGCGAAAAAGCATCTTGTCAATTTATGCAGTCGGATTAAAAGCATAACAATGCCAATTTTATCTGATGATAGATCTGATGAAGTTATTGAACAGGAAGATGATCTAGAGAAATTGATACAACTTAAAGAAAGGCAGGAGAAAATATTTAAAAGAGGGCCAACAATTGCAGAGAAAAGTATTGAAATTATAATTATCGGATTTAGCGATTTTAAAAGATTAGATAAGAAAGAAAATATTTTGCATTTTTGGGAGTCTAGCACCCTGATTTATATATTTTATCCAAATTCTTATTTGCTGTTCCTGCAACCCAAGTTAATTTATCATATTTTCACATAAATACATTTAATATAGGTAGCATTGAAAGATTTTTTTCACATTTGAAATTCATTCTTTCACCACATAGATCGAGGATGAGTGAACAACTCTTGGAAGATATTATACTAATACGTCT